TTATGAACTGAAACCTTTCCTGTCTAAGAAAAAACAAACTCCATTTAGTTCATCTGAACCAACTATAGGATGGTTAATGTTAAGGGAAGATTTACTGAGAACCAACATTAAGGCATGCTAGCTAATTACACGTAGTTAAGGCCTGGGCGCGTTACGTTTGGCGCTGGACAAACATGAAGCGCCCCAGCACAGTTCAACATTAAATGTAATTCTGTAATTTTGAAGGTTCGTTAGCTTGTTGGCTAACTGCAAACTGACCCTTTCATAATAAAATGGTCGGTATACACATGCACAGATATTTTTAAAGAACCATGTTGGCTAACTGCAAACTGACATTTCTGAAATACAGGGCCCCGTCTACACGTGTATGGATATTTTTTGGAATCTTAAACACTTGAACATAAATGGATATCATTTTACTACCCATTTATATCTGTGTCTGTACCTATAGTATTTATTACTTATCAGTACGCATATACATTGACCACATTGCTGTATATTATAGTTGTTTTATTTTGCAAAGTTGTATACCTGTATAAATATGTGTGTATATATATATATATATATATATATATATATATATATACAATATATACATATTTATAATTTTATTTAGGCTTTTACTGTCATTTTTCGTTTAATAGATGTTTATTGAGCATGGTTTGAGGGAGCCGGAGAGCTAAGGATTTGATTTCCCGCGACTCCACTAATAACAGTTGTCATAATAGTTGTGCATATGACAAACTGTTTTTGTGGGGATGTTTTTTAAGATTTACGTCTTCAGTAGGAACCAATGAGTTTGAGGCTGAAGGCCAAAGACAGGAAGTTAAAGTACAGAGAGAGACAAACCACCATCTTGTTGGTTTTGGTCTTTTCATGAGGAAATACAGAATAACCTGTGTCTCATGTTGTGCAGCAGTGCTTTAACTTCATGAAGAACGATCTATGGGACGCATTTACAAAGAAAATAAATCAATTTAACAACAATGATAATAAAACAAATCTATTAAATCATTTTATCTTCTCGCTCTGATCTCCATCTTCGTCGGCCCACTTCTCCTGCAGAGTTAACAGCTCGGGGCTTCTGACAGAGAGATCTGAAGGAATCTGATTAATGTAAGGTGGATTTTCAATTAAAAATAACACATCACAGCCCGGAGAAGCTCGCCGTCCTCCGCCACCAGCAGCTCTATCTGCGCCATTTAAGGAGGCTTATAGACACATTACACCGTCTCAACCCGTGATCTCTGTCAGCTCCTCGTAGCTTCTCGTCACAGTCTGCCTGCTGGGGAAATAACGGCTATGCTCAAATCAAAACAACCGCCGCCTCCTGTGGTTTTTAAATGGGTGGATATGCAGCTATAAATGGAGCCAATCCGGCCTCCTCCTACCTCTCTATCTCCCCCGTCGTGTGAAATCCTAGAAGACACAGAGTCAAGTCGTTGTGCTGATGTGACAGGAGCTTTATTTTCACTCTGCTTGTTCTGAATCAGATGGCGAGGCCTGGAGGGAAGGGAGGGACGGAAACATGTTTCAAGAGCTTAATAAACATCTTTCAGTCTGTCTTTGTCTTTATATTCGACTCTCTGCGTCATAGTTTTGTTTTCTATCTGCAGTCCTCACGTTATCACTCACCTCTGGTGGCGCCCGTCTGTGCAGGTGGCTTGAGGTTTTATTTACCTCGTCCCTGATGCAATAGACCCTTTAACTGTTAGTAAAGTGTGATGTTTTTTGGTGGGCGGGGCTTAGCTGGAGGTAAAACAATTCTCCACAGGTGTTTGAGAAGGCAGGTACTATCTGTCTCCACAAACTGGCAGTAACATGATATCCATTTATGTTCAAGTGTTCAAAACATAGTCTTCAAATTGTGTGTAGTAATGTGTAGACAGGGCCTAATATTTCTCTCTTTCTGCTCTCATATTAGTGTAGAGCGTCAGACTGAATTTACCAACGCACCATGTCAGGTCACTCACTCTCCGGGACCGCCAGTGTTACTTGAATAAGTAAACACTGACCAACGGGACCAGACTGGCCGACCCGTATGCTCTCACTCAGTGGATGGATGATGTCACAGGAAGCCAATCTTACAAAGGAGGACCACACTTGTTTGTTTTGCTATGGAAGCTAACGTTAGCTAATGTGCTAAAAAGTTAGCGTTGCAGAGAAATCCAATCTTCCTCTTAATCCCTCCCCAGTTTCTGATGAGGTGGACATGATAACCCTTAATACACATAACCTTATTCATCCCTACAACAGGAAATACTTTTTCCCTAACCTGATATGAAGTGTGCGCTGCACATGTGAGCATTTTTGATGATGGCCTCCGTCCAGTCCTTTGGTCTTATCACATTTAACCATAGTTGTCTTTGTTTTTGTTGACGGGCAGTGGCGGCTGATTTTGAGCCATGACTCCTTCTATTCTGGCTCCCAATAACACAACAACACAAACACAAGACCTAAAGGGTCTATATCCACTTCCTCTGTGGTAACTTATCCACAGGGTTGGGTGCGTTGGTAAATTCAGTCTGACGCTCTACACTAAAATGAGAGCCCTGTTGCTGGAGGAAATGGAGCGTTATATTTCTACATGAATGAACCAACGGTGGGCGGCACGGTGGTGTGATGGTTTGCACTGTTGCCTCACAGCAAGAGGGTTCGTGGTTCGATCCCGGGTGTGGGAGCCCTTCTGTGTGGAGTTTACATGTTCTCCCCGTGTCAGCGTGGGTTCTCTCTGGGTACTCCAGCTTCCTTATAAGACTGGAATCTTCTCATCCAGTTCTCCACCAGAAAGCAGGAAACTTTTAGGACTCAGAGGAGTTTGTTAAATGTTTGACAGATTGATGCATCAGAATAATGAACATTTTCTTTAATGACTTTGATGTGAAACCTTTTTATAAACATAATTTCATTCATTGGCGATAATGTTTTCACCCCAACATACACCAGGTCGAACAGATTCGTGCTGGCTGTGAAGCTCTTTAGTTTCCTGAGAAGACGTCTGTCTGTCTTTGAATTTGAGGAAATAAGTGTCACATGTCTGTCTCTCAGGTGTATTGATGGTGTTGATGTGTCCTGATTTCTGCAGGGTGGTTTTCTTCAGTAATGTTTGCTGAAGCTCCTGCAGCCTCTCATCACATTATCATTTCAATACCAGAGTGAGATTTCTCTGATCTGCTTCAGTTTTCCTCACCAGGCCCAGATTTCCCCATCAGTCAGCTCTAAAGTGGATTTTTGGAGTGCTGCTCATCAGAAATGCCTCCTGCTGTCATCAAACACTGTTTTTTATATTTACAGTCTCTGTCAGAGCCTCAAGTCTTTACCCAGAAACTTTTACATCTCTCTGCAGACGGTGTTTATACACCAGAAAGTGTCATTTCTGCCGATTGGTCATGGTCAGATAAATATAGATAATTAAACTGCAGAGAGAGTCAGTATCTGACGGCGCTGTACTGGCCTTTCAGAGCGGATTTTACCATCAACACAAATAAAGAGTTGTGATGCATCTCATGTTGAGCTGAAAATGGGAGATAAAATCTGATTTAACCTCCCATCTGGTCTCGCCATCAAACTATCAGCAAATTATTTTACACAGATGAGATGAATTTACAGCAGATATTTACCACAGCTGTGACACAAAACCAGAACTGGCTGGATTGTTTTTGGATAACTATTTCAGAGAAATATAAATGTGCTTTTTCTGCAGATCCAGTTCAGCATTTAGTACAAGTTGTATTATTGAATAGATTTAGCCTCAGTCTGTTAGCATGATACCATGACCTGTGTGTCTCATTGTGTCATACGGATTACTGTTAATTTATTATGTTGATCTGTTCTGTACGACATCTATTGCACGTCTGTCCGTCCTGGAAGAGGGATCCCTCCTCAGTTGCTCTTCCTGAGGTTTCTACTGTTTTTTCCCAGTTAAAGGGTTTTTTGGGGAGTTTTTCCTGATCAGCTGTGAGGGTCATAAGGACAGAGGGATGTCGTATGCTGTAAAGCCCTGTGAGACAAATTGTGATTTGTGATATTGGGCTTTATAAATAAAATTGATTGATTGATTGTTAGCATGATGACCCATGACCTGTTAGCTTCAGCCTCAGTTGATTAGCATAACATTATGACCTGGGACTAGTTAGCTTTAGCCTCAGTCTGTTAGCATGACAGCATGACATGGGGCCTGTTAGCCTAGGCTATAGTCCTTTAGCACAATAACATTACCTGGGACCCAGTTAGATGTAGCCTCAGTCTGTTAGCACAGTAGCACAACCTGTAGCCTGTTAGTTTTAGCCTTAGTCAGTTAGCATGATATGGTGACATGGGACCTATTAGCCATAGCTATTGTCTTTTAGCATTGTAACATAACCTGGGACCTACATTTGGCCTCAGCCTGTTACTGTATCATGACCTGGGACCTGTTAGCTTTAGCTTCAGCTGGTTTTACAATATGACCTGCTTTACTCTGTCTGTTAGCATCAAATCATGAACTGTGACCTGTTAGCTTAATTTTGAATCAGGTAGCACAATATCATCTCTTAGAGCCTGTTAACTTTAGCTTTAGCCTGTAAGCACGATATTATGACCTCAGATTCGTTGTGCTCCTTTGTGCTGGAGTTTTCAACCTGACCACATGGTCTTCATCGGCAGATCAAGCTTACTAAGTCGTCACTGAACTATTTGTGTTTAAACTGTTCCGTATTTTGGCACATTTGGGACCTCTCATCTATGTTAGCTTCGAAACTGATGATGAAGATCAGGCAATTTAGTGAAAATGAAAGCTCCAGAACAGGCGAGTAAGTTAACGTTGAGCAGAACAGTTCATTCTTGACCCCGTTTAATACTCAGCTTTTTGTCATTACAGAATAATTGGAGGGAAAACTTCATCGGCTGACGAAGGTGTTGTGAACTGGCTGAAAGCTCCGGTACAAGTAAGTGGATCATGTGTGAATGTTTGGTTTGGCTTTATGAGACCACGAGTCGGTGAAAAAAACAAAAAGTCGAGATGATGTTCAGAGTTTTTATTAAATAGAGTAACTGATCAGAACGTAATCAACAAAATCAAAATAATTAAATATAAATAAATCAAAAAATAACATCGTTGAGAGAAACAGAGTGAAGCTCGGCACATGAATCATTCATATCATACAAATGTGAACATATTATTCCTGATATTTGTTCAGTTTCAGAGTATAAAAAGTTCAGAGCAGGTTTCCGTTAGCAGTAAAGGTCATGATTGTGTTCAGTGAACGTCACTCAGCCTCCAGGTGAAAGGAAAAGTCACACAAACAGTGGTGATCTTATTCTTTCTGTAAAATAAATAAGCAACATAATCAACGGCATGACGTCCGAGAACAGAAATTAAATGTCACAACAGAACAGAAAGACACTTTCTACATGAACTTTAACTTTGACCGAGTTAACATCTGCTCGCTAACAAAACAATTTGAGGACCAAAAAAATATAATTCAAGTTCACTGCATCGTGTGATCATGTGGACGTTTAGCTTTTGTTTCCTGCTCCAGAGAGCTCCTGCAACTCCAGAAAAAAAACACCTTCAACACTTTGACAGAAAGAAAACAACTAAACAGGAAGTCATTCGAAACATATCGACCCAGAACTTGTTAGCTAGCGCTAGCTAATCTTTGTGTTTTGCCTCCAGCTAAGCCCCACCCACCAAAAACCATCAGACCCTTTACCAACAGCAAAAGAGTCTGTATCTGCAGCGTGTTCCTTTGTGATGTCAAATGGTGGCCAGCGTTTTTTCAATATTAATGTTTTATGTATTTGCAGCATTTTTTTTCCTGAACGAACGTACGTGTTAAAGATCTTTTTTCCAGCTGAAGAAAATTGTTGATTTATCAATTAAATTATATTAAATTAAAAACAGTTATGGATTTATTTTCTTTTGAGTCATTTTTCAAGAATAATCACTGAATATTTTTTGGGTTTGGACTGATGATTGGAGGCATCACATTTATTTTTCAAATGTCAATCAATCAACAATATAATTGGCAGAATAACAATGAAAATAATATTTAGTTACAGCTAATCTTTTACCGATGTGCTTGTTTTCTTATTAAACTGCAGTTTGTTGAGTTTTCTCAGTCTCTGTATTTATATTATATTTACTCATTGTTGGGATGTGTGTACACTACGACTTTTCCTTGTTTTTGATCAGACTTAAAACTTTATCATAAAAGACGTTCGGATATAATTTAAATCGGAGCCTTGAGATGTGCCACAGTTTACACTTAAACTCGCTTGCTGTTTTGTGTAACAAAATAAAGTAAGAGGCCATGTATTTTATTTCCAGAATTACACATATTTGAAGCCAGAAGTCTGTTTGAGTTTGTCCAAAATGTTTTGAATTAACTTAAAACTATATTTTTGGGAACTGAGCCGAGAGTTTGACAAAAAGACTGAGGCCACTCTCGTGTCTGTTCAGTAAATCTGAAGCTACAGCCAGCAGCCTATTAGCTTAGCTTAGCATTAAGACTTGAAACATCTGGAAACAGTCCGACTCTGTTCAGAAGTAACAAACACACCAACATGTTGTATCCAGTTTGTTTTATTTGCACAAGCAATTGACTTGAACCAACATGTTTTATCTGATTCTAGACTTTATGGTAAGCTAAGCTAGGCTAAGCTAAGCTAGCTGTAGCATCACGTTTACTGTACAGATGTACAATGAAAATTTAAATACAATCCCTCTCATGATTTAAACAATGTAATTATAAAATAACTAATAATTAATAAAAAATAATTGTAATAACAAAAAAGCATCTTGTATTTGGGCCAGTTTGGTGAATTATGAATATTTATTCAGCAGCTAACAGTCATTTTCATTGTCTGCACATTATTTCCTCGATTACTCTTTTTGTCAGTAAAATGTCAGAGCATAGTGAAACATGTAATTTCCCAGAGCCTGAGGTGACGTCTTTGAATCGTTTGTTTTAACTGACAAACAGTCTAAAAATCCAAAGTTATTCAGTTTATTATCATGAATGACAAAGAAAAACATCAAACTTAAGAAACATGAAATCAGCAAATGATTAAAAAAATCACTTCCACCATTTTTCCAATATCAAAATAGTTCTTCTGTGTTGGTTAATCAACTAATCGCTGCAATTTTAATAAATACCGTGGCAGAGAGACAAGTTAGAGATCTTCAGGGGTGCAAATAATGTTTGAGTCTCAGGTCTGTGTACTCACATGGATGTGAACAGACCTGAACGCGCTCTGTATGTGTTCATCAGTAGTTACTTAGTACCGTAAAACTCCAATTAAAAGCCTAGTCCCAGTTAAAGGCCCAGTCTCTTTAACCAGCCCGCTGTGGCTACACATTGTGACAAATACAGGCCTGTCTCAATTAGAGGACTGGTCTGGTTGTCAAGCAGTTCATTTTTTTAAAAATAAAAGTTCTTCAGATGTATAAAACCAGGTTGTCGGCCACCTAAAATTATGTGTCACTTCCTGGATTCTCCTTCAGTCTGTAAGGGTCCTCAGATCTAAAGAATCAAAAGGGTTTTTCCTAAAAATAAATCCAAGGTGTGGGGATTGTTTCAACAGGATAAAGCGGGGTCAGTCCGAGTTAGATCAAATCACTGATTCATAAATGACACATTATCTAAAGCCTAATTCATATTTATACAGTTTGATCATATTTAATGATCTTTGCTAATAAACAGTTTTGTGTGAAAGGAATTAAAGGCCTGTCTCAAATATCGGCCTGTTGAGTTCAGTGATTTAAGCCAATAATAGCCCGGGCTACTAACTGAAGTTCAATGGTAATTTATTACAGTAATGTGCTGACGAGTCGTGATGAGCAGACCTACACAGATCTGCGCAGACTGTCTGCAGATTTGAAAAAATAAAAAATAAAAACATGAAATGAATATTGTTCATTAACAAGCAAAAACAAGCAAATATTCCAAAAAATTCTGCCGATTTTCATTTCGGATCACAGCTGAAAACAATCAGTAATGATGTCACAGTTCCTGATGTCATTAACGCCACAATGCATTGTAACAATGTTGTAATGTGAACACAGCGTTGGGAAGGTTACTTCTCAAAATATTATGTTACAGATTAGTGTAACTATTTTAATTACTTCATCAAAGTAATGTAACTTATTTGATTACTTTTCCAACAAACATTAAATTAGGCTATAAAACAGGCGTCCGGAAACAGGTGACGCCAAAAAGATACAAAGCTACAAAATTAATGTTTTATAAAGTTTTTACCAAAGAGAATCAACTCAGGTACTTAAATGTAATTACATATGAATTACGTTACCTATTGGTTAGCTTTAGCCTCAGTCTATTAGCATAACATTATGACCTGGAACCTGTTAGCTTTAGCCTCAGTCAGTTAGCGTGATATCGTGACGTGAGACTGGTTAGCTTTAGCTGCAGTCCATTAGCATAACATTATGACCTGGAACCTGTTAGCTTTAGCCTCAGTCTGTTAGTGTGATATCGTGATGTGAGACTGGTTAGCTTTAGCTGCAGTCCATTAGCATAACATTATGACCTGGAACCTCTTAGCTTTAGCCTCAGTCAGTTAGCACAATTTCATGACAAAGGACCCGTTAGCTTTAGCCTCAGTCTGTTAGCGTGATATCATGATCTGGGACTTGTTAGCTTCAGGCTTTAGCCACGTATTTTCTTCTTACTAACTGTGACAGATTCAATTTTTTATGTAATTTAATTACTCCCCAACACTGTGCGTCCAGAGGACATACTGCTGTATAGTTTATATAATATGTATTTTATTTTTTAGATTTTTTTTCATTTTTATGACATGGCCGCTCGTTAAGGGACAGACCGTCACGCTGCTGCAGGTGTCGGTGTTCTCTGAGTCTCTACAGGTTGACGGTCGTCAGCTCAGGCTCTGGTTCCACGTGTTCATTTCAGATCGGCTCAAACATTTTGGACCTCTGAAGACCTCTAACGTCACATCAACGTACGTCCGCCACAAAACGTACAAACAAAAAGCGTTCTGTGCAGAAAACTGGGCGTGTGACACGCCTGTCATCATGCTCATCATTATTCAGGAGGCAGCTCACTGATCAGATGCTACCCTGAATATCATCAGCAGTTTCATCACCAACATGTGTTTGTGTGTGTTTTAATCTCATGCTCAAACTCTTCTCGCTTCTCAGATATGACAGTGGCGTTTAGTGTGAACGTGACGAAGCTGCTGAACTGGAGGAAGAGGAGTGAAGGGGCGGGATGAGGAACAGTAGAAGAAGAAGAAGAGCAGGTGCATTAATTCAGAAGGTAAAATAAAAAACGAATCCCTCCTCTGGTTCTATTATTGCAGAAGAGGAGGCGTTCAGTTTAAGACAGCGCTCGTAGAAAAAGTTTGTTTTGAAGAGTTCGTTAAACCCAGTCGCTCGTCTCTGCAGGAGCTTGTGTTGTGTTCAGGTGCTCTCTGTTCATCAGAGTTCTTCCAGTCCAGTCATAGTGGACAAGAACACTCCTCCCTCTGCCTGCCTGACCTCCTCTCCTTCACATACTCTCCTGTCCTATGTCTCCTTCTTTCATTTCCTCCTTCCTCCACCACTCTCCCTCCTTTCTTCTTTAGTTTCCTGTCGCACCTTTTCTCCTTTTGTCTTTTCTCCGTCCTCCAATCTCTTCACCTTTCCCCCCTCTTCTTTCCTACCTCCTCCATTTTTTCTTTCCTCCACTTCACCTCCTTGTCTCCTCCTTTCCTTCCTCTCCAACAGTTAGACAGACAGACAGACAGACAGACAGACAGGCAGGCAGGAGCATCCCGTCCAATCAGGAGTCTCAGTGTTGATCACATGCCTGAGGAGGACAGTCCCAGGCCGGCAGCTTTGCTCATGCAGGGTAAACCTTGAGATCCAGCTTTCGGGAAGTCATGCGCCACCACGCGTCCGTTCTCTCCTCCGAGCCCTGACGCTCCTCCTCCATAACCAGCCCCCGCCGCACCTCCTCCACCTCCTCCTCCGCCCGCCATCCCGCCAAGGCTGGTGCTTGTCATGGCGGCATCAATGAGCTCCTGCAGCACAGAGAGGAGAGAGAGGAGTGTAAAAATCTGTTTAGATCTTCAGATTGTTTTTTATCTTTAACAGGTGAATCTTTCTAACCCGTCGCAGTAAAACTCAAACCTCTCATCTTCCCTCTCTCCAAATTTTAGCTCCTTTGCACTTAATCAGTCCTGAGAAATCCAGCATCAGTTTGAGCTTTTAAAGTCAGAATCAAAAATGTACAACACCAAACGTTAAACGTTAGTTTCCAAGGGAATGTCCAGAATTTGGACAAATAAAATGTTCTGACCCGTCTTCTATTTTGGGGACAATCATGCTCAAATTGAGATTAAAAGTATGCTGAATTATTTCTGTTTGCAGTGAAGGCCTGGATGTACAGCTGACTCACTGGATCACTGTGACACTGAAGAAAACATGAAGAGTCCCTGTGAAGTTCTGCAGTTACAAGGTGCATCATCTTTTTTAATATGATTCTTAAGCATATTTATGGACTTTTATACGCAACGCACATCAGATATAATGATACCCACAGGAAGCTTCAGGCACACTGAGGCTGCTCTCAGACCTATTTGATGCAAATTGTGGTTTTAGTAATCACCTCCATGAGTTGTGTTACAAAAAGAAGCAGCCAAACTACAATAATTAATTTCCTGTTGTTATAACGCCTGCAGGATCCGTCACCGAACTGTGTCTCTCAGATCACCAACCTTTCTGTTTTAGTTTTGAGCGTAAATATTAATCGTTTGAATGTTTTTGAACAAATATGCACTGCTGTTTGGAAAGCTCAAGTATACATATATGTGTGTGTGTGTGTGTGTGTGTGTTCAGTCGTCACCAGTAGTAATAACAGTAAAAGTTGTGTTTGAGCAGCAGAGTAAACTTCCTCTCTGTGTGTCTCCTCTCAGGGAAACTAATGATGTGGATCCAGAGTTAATATCCTGTATAGGGCCTCTGAGGCTCCCACACTCCGTCGCAGTTTGCCGCCTGGCATCCACAGTCGTCAGGCAGATTGGTAGAAATAAATCCCACGTTTATTCATTTACTGGAGCGACTCTAACACTCCCAAACACCTCAGAGCCAGCACTCTCACATCTGAGGAACAAAGTCAAACAGTCATCTCCCTCCTGCTTTCACCTCCACGGCAGGAAGTTAAGAGCTTACAGTCCACCTCCGTCAGCCTGCAAAGACTGTGAACACCAGGAGGAAGTGTCTCTGCTCATCACTCTCACTGTGATCGGTTTCATTGAAAAAACACGTCTACATGTGCAGTGACAACACAGCCCTACAGCACCTGTCTCAGCACAGTCACAGTGTTTTTATACTCTGACTATAAGGCAACGAGCAAACTGTCAAATATCTTAAATCGGACACTGAACAGTGACATATTTAAAAATATTTTTCTGACGAAAATGTAATGAAGTTTTTCAGACTTTCTATGATTTATATTTATATTTTTCATACCTTTAGTGACTTTCTGACGACATGCTATACTATGACGTTTTTGACCATTTTTTGATGACGTGCTATACTATGACGTTTTTGACCATTTTCTGACGACATG